CTCGCACAAAATGTTGGATATGACAACACCAATATTCCATAAGCGGCTCTAATTCTTCTACACAATTAATAAAATGATCACCTCAATGCTTCGTACTTTCCTTTCCAAGTCTGATCGTTCGCGCTCTTCCGAATCAGCCTGACTGGAGCAAAGCTGCAGCTCATTCTTCTTCTTGGCCAGTGATGGTTCCAGCTGTTTCAGCCTGTCTCAGTATCAAATTTATAGTGCGATAACTTGGGATTTAAAAAATAATTCCATTTAGTACTGCCCTTCTGCACCTTTAGCAAAACAAACCAAGGGTTTTAATCGCCTGTTAATCCCTGGTAACAATAAAAGGAGAGCAGAATTCACGGGAGCTGGGCCTTCCATTGATATGTCTGATCCTTTGCTTGAGCTTGGGAACAGGTACCAACTGCCACTGCAGTCAATTTCGCCACCCATCGGTGCTTAAGAGGCAGAAAAATTACAGAATTTATTGACAAAAATTTTGAATAAATTTATACCTCATCTGAGCGGTTTTAATTTTCGTTTCCAACGCGGTAAGTGAACTCCGCTGAGCTGAAAACAAGTTTGTTTTTTGTAGTGTAACTTGCTGTTAAACGGAATTCTGATAAATTTGACATGTTACATGCATAAAGAATTGTAAACTCAAACTAAACTGCGAAGATCAGCTTTATTCCTAATTCCACTGTGGCTAACACAATGTCAGTAAGGCCAACCCTGCATCACGAAGCAATGAACTTTATACATGAATATCAGCACATACATGCCACTGACACATACTGCGGAAACCCCGTGAAAAGCCGGCAAAGAAGCCATCACAAAAAAGTGACACTGCCTACCGACGACACTTAAGAAAGGAAGGTATATTCTACGTTGAAAGGCAGATACGCAGTAGATGTGCTTGCAGGCTGATCTTAGAGCATAGCGGCCCATGGTGTAGTGGTTAGCACACTGCGTCTAGATGTGAAGGGGAATGGTTCGATTCCTCCCCGGTCCACGGCCATTTTTGAAATCGAGCTCCATTCATGATAGGGTATTGTATTCACAATTACTAGTTGCGACGATCCAAATGTATTTTTATCGACACACACATGCTACCGATACCTTGCACTGCTTTTGATAATGCAGATTTACACTAACAAGCATGAACTACTGCTACAGTAGCGCAAACAGTAATTCACATCTGTTAGTATCGACGGCCTTTATATATATACATCTATAAACACATCCTACTAACACGTAATATTGCTGGTCCTCATATTCTAGTTCCGACATTTCTTTTATCGGCCCTGCACTGATACTATTATAATCGCCGTCATTTCTGCTTTACGTACCCACTGATAAGAATGCAAGAAATGGAGAGGGTAAATTTTTAAAAAATCTTATATCAAGCAACAAACCCCCAGTTTTTTCTGCAAAAAAAAACCTTCTTCTAATGAAGAAAATACCAAAAATAAAACCATAAGCGGTAATAAAACCGAAAACACTGACCTGTTAGCTGAGCATCTAGGGTGACAGCATGGCCCTCCTCATCAGTAGTCATTCCTTTTGCCAATGCTTCTATCTTATTCCGAGCACGTTTCACGGCTTCTTCCGCTTCTTTACCACGCCTTTCTTCACCGCCACTTCCTGCTTCAAGCTTTTTCAATTCGTTTTGCTTCTTTTCCAGCTCCTTCTTGTCCTACAAAACCGTTATCATCAATGTGTTGAAAAAATATATATATATATATATAAAAGAATAAACTACACCAGGCGTCAACCATGATACCCATTTTTATTTGCAAGCATGGTCCACAGCAAAATGTTCCCTCATACCGTAAATATTTCGCCAACCCTTTTTGAAAACTTTTCATTCTCAAACTTAAACAAACTATTCTCCCACGACAATTCTAAACAATGGCTCAGCGAACTCTAAATTCGTCGTATCACTCTTTAGCTGCTCGCTATCAGGAAATGAAATTCTTACCGATTGGATGCTTTTCGCTTTACGATCTATCGCGGTTTTGGTTTCTTTTCCTTTATGGCGTACTGCATCAAGCTCCGCTTCCGCAGCTGTCAAAGCTGCCATCGTTTCCTTAATTCGTTTCTCGATTTCGTCCTTTTCACGGCCGCTTTTCTGCAAAATTGTAAAATTAGAAACGAAGAAAGGCTTCTGATCGAACCTAACATTTATCAGGAAAGATAACGAAATCGGAAATGCTTCTTTTAAAGATGTAGTGAAATTTCAGCAAAACTCTCGTACTACGCGGTTTTTTTAGTAATCAGAACATCCGCATCTGATCTTTTTAGTTTTTAATAAACTCACATATGCAGTTCGTAATTTTAGCAATCACAGCACAAGAAATACAAACATAGCGGCCTTAAAATCAACGATAAATATTTAAATAAAAATCAAAAAGGCCCTGATTTCACCTGTTTTGAATATTTTTGGAGCCGAAATTTTCAAAATTAGCTTTCTAGCGCAAAAATCAAAATTACTCACGTTTTTCTTCTTATCTTCGAGTTCTTTAAGTCGAATCTCTTTGCGACTTAGCTCCTCTTTTGTGTCGTAGATTGCCTTATCCACGTCGCGAATTTGATTTTTCACGTTTGCTATATCATCTTGTAAGCTATGACTGTGGGCCTGAAAACAGTTATCCATACTTTGCGTATAAGTTTCTTCCACACACAAAGAAGGTCCAAAAAACTTTTGAGCTAAAGAACCGCACAAATGATTACTAGCTAATGCCGTTCTTGTGTTAGCCCCCGCACTCACGGCAACGACAGTTTGTTATGACGAAACAACAGCTGATCAAAGTAAAAATTATGCGAAAAACTGAAAAACATTTTATTTATCCCAAAAAAAAGTTAATCCCTCTACAAGTGTTTTGGAAATTTTTCGAAAAATGTTAACAATGAAAGTTTGTTTGGCACTGTAGGTCAGCCGATGAAAGGGACACAGTCGAACATTAATCCCTCTATAAGA